CGGGGCTCTCACTGCTGTGGCCTCTCCCGTTGCGGAGCAACAGGCTCCGGACGCGCAGGCTCAGCGGCCATGGCTCACGGGCCCAGCCGCTCCGCGGCGTGTGGGATCTTCCCGGACCGGGGCACGAACCCGCGTCCCCTGCATCGGCAGGCGGACTCTCAACCACTGCGCCACCGGGGAAGCCCCTGGTTTACTTTTGAGTCGTGAATCCGCACAGCTTTTCCACACTCTGTTGGATAAAGTGAGAGATGCGTGTAGACGAAGGATAGGGCCCATACTGGGGATACAGGTGGGAAAGAAGGAAAGGGAGCAGCAGGCTGTGTGCAGCCTCGACTCAGAAATGTTCCCACAGCTTGAAACCAAACATCTGGGGAAGCGATTGCAAACACGCCTTCAAGGAGAAGCCCCCACTGCAGAGTAGTCCCCCTGGAATGTGGTGGCATCGGGGTAATGGAACGCCTCGACACAGCTTGTACCTGATGCCAGATGAGGAGGTTGCTCCCAAATCGTATTCCCTGTACATGGCAATGCCAGCCTGTCTCTAAGGGAACTGCCTTCCTGTTTCCGCTGTAGGCCTTCTGGGGATGGTGGGGCCATATGATGTATTCACAAGTCTTCCAAGCAACGCCAACTTGGGTCCAGGACACTGGAGGCCCCCTGCTTGGAATTATGGCCGGGCCTTTTAGTAGGCGCTCCTCCAGCTTTCTTCTCTTCCCTGGTCCACCTCAACGAGATGCTTGCTCTGTGTCCTTCTGCCTTCTCTTCATCCCTCATCCCAGATGTCCATTAGTCACCCAGAGGGCTGGACCAGCAGGCCACGCCCATTCTCTCCCCCACCTTCTGAGGAGGTACGGAGTGGATTCCTCGGGCTTATTTTTTCTGCTGATAAAGCTGTAACAAGTGCCTCTTCACCTGATATGTATGACGCCCTTGGGAAATGAGACTAATTTTGCATGGCTTACGGAAATGATGCTCTGTTTTATATATTTTATGATTCAAGGTATTGGGAGACAGAGAAATGAAGAATTAGCCTTGCAGTCTGGATTGGAGCCCCTTCCGGTGAATGGCTCGCTCCTCTCCTGTGACGAACAGTGGCTTCATCCTGCTTCCATTCTTATTCCATCGAACTGTGTTAGAAATGAAACGTCCCCTATACCCGTCTCTCTCTAACCCTTAAAGAACTAAGGGCTCAGTTAGTTTAGATTTCTCTTAAAAAGAGGGAAGCAGCAACCGTGCTGAAACACACACATTCAAGGGAAACACCCCCTTTGTTTGGGTTCCTCGCCTTCTCCCTTGAGGAACGCTCTCCATTCACTGCACAGGTGCCGACTTGGACCTACATGAACCGTCTGGGCTGAGTGCTAAGCACTTAACAGTGCTGGAAAGACAGTCCGTGCTGAAGAGGCATATGGAAGCCTGTGTATGTCCGTCACAGGATCTCATCCCTTCTTCTCATGGTGTAATATGTGCTGTTGGATTCAGGGGCCTTTGATCTCTCCATCAGCCGCCCCGATCAGTTTAGTTCATTTTGCAGACTCATCGTTTCTCACCTTTTATCCATTTTCAAGCCATTCTGGGCATTTCAACTGCAGAGCTCAGACTTCCAAACTCCCATCAGAAGCATCCTCAGCCTGAGTCTAGTCCATCAGAGGCAGCAGAGAGGAACACGCAGTAGCAGCGCGTAGCCTCTGAGCATCACTTGGCCTCGTGAAACACCCTCACACACACAACCTACACCACTCCTGGTGTCCTGGGCTTCCCATGATCACGGAAGTCTTAGGGGTTTGACTTCCCCAGTTTCTAGGAATGTGTTTGATACAGTTCCCTGGTGTCTTTTTCTCTTTGTTGAATCCATCCAGCTTCTCTTCATCTCCAGCATCTTTTCCATCCTTTACAAACTCCAGTAAGCCAAGAACCACATTGTTTCCATAGTAGGCAAATTCCACTAGAGCTGCCTATAATAATACCTCTAGATGTGTAGTCAGTGTTTCCTGAATGCCTCTCGGAGGCTCAACTTTGTGGACCCTAAGACAGCTAGGTGCAAAACCAAGGAAGATGGAAGAGGTATCTGGCAGGGAAAGGAGGGAATGTAGTGCCTCGGGCTGTGTCCACTGTGTCCAGCTGAGCTACAGCTCTATGGAATCTTGGAGATTATACAAGGTTAACTGTAGCTTGGGAAACAACTGTCCAAAAAATTGTATGGCGGGGGGGAGTGAGTGAGTGAGTGTGTGTGTGTGTATACACAAACACGTAAAATAAGCCACCAGGTATAAAAGAACACAGCACTTACACTAATCAGTGCGGTGAAAATGAATCCGTTAAACTCCTAGCCTGACTTTAACACTATACGAGTCATTGTCTTTTACTAGGAAACATTCAGAACCTACCCCAAGAGACCAAATTCAGTCCTCTTGCCCACAGCTCTTTATCTGCAACGTGGTGGAAGGCAACACCATGAGATCCTTAAATCCCTAAGGCGGCATCGGCCTAGCTGACTAGTAGGAAGGGATCCTGGTATTTTTCTTTCAAACCCGTAAGGAAGTCAGGGTCTTACATTCCAGTTTTTTTTGTATCTTTGTCCCCAGCACGGCCTGGGTTTCCTTCACCTGCTGCATGGCGTCAGCCGTCACCACCTTCAACACATACACCCGGCTGCTGCTGGAGTTCAAGTGCAAAGCACAGTAAGCTTCAGAGGAACCCCGCCGAGCTGCCTACTGCATCACCACCTATGTTTCCTTCAGGAGCTGGCGTGCACAGCCCACCTGAGGGGCCTTTGACCAGCTACCCCCAGTACCACCATCAGCCCGTCCGCTCCGTCTCCGGAGGAGTGGACTTCTCCTCAGAGCTACACACAAGGAATTTCAACACGGGACCAGCTGGGAGCCTCAGGAAGAGGCGGCCGGGTCATCTGTAGGGGAAGAACAGTGTTAGGAGTTAGTGGGCTTGGAGAGCAGGCTGAGCCCTACCTTACATGTTGCTTTGTTATCAACACGCGCTTAAGCCAAAGTCTGTTTCTTGAGCGTGATTTTCAGAGGTTAAGAACAAGGGTATTTAAAGTCCAAGTCCAGGGGTATGTGCCCGGTGCCCTCGCTCCCTTTTCTGTCACAGCTTGGTCTCACTCCCACCTCCCACCCCCGCCCCCCGTGTCACTCATTCAGAAGTCCCTTCTCGCCTTTCTGATTGTTGGTTATATGCCAGGTTCTGGGAGATAAAAAGAGGAGTAAAATATGGTTCCTGCCCTTTAGAGGCCGACCAACTTGGCCATCTGTCCTGGATTTGGAAGAATGGAGTGGGGGAGTTGGAGGTGGCTCAGCTTTCCATGGTGCACTTGACGTTTCCTGGAAGCCACACACTGGAAGGCTCTCCTAGGAGCTCTGACCTGTAGGATGGGCGTCCTCCGCACAGCCTACCACGGTGTCCTGCATCCCCGCGATAGGGAACATACCACATCACGTTAATTACACATTATCCTCAGAGCCATCAGGAGACTAGGACACATGAGAAGGCTCCTGCAGCCTGCGGGGACAGGCCACCCCCAGAACGGCCCACTGAGGCCATGCGGACAGGATGGCAGCTCCCCAGCAACCAGGCTGCAGCCTACACTCCCCTCTGAGCCCCACCTTGCATCCATCCACTCGCCCTTTCTCTTTTCCGTCAGGGAAAACCCACCACCCTTGATGGCTGAGAAGAATGAGAACAGCACACACGTATGCTCCTATACACAGTGTTTATTTGTTCTGTAACGATTCACATTTTAAACAGCGCTTCCTGACAACGTACCAGCCGGCTGCTCTTTAACACAGGCAGTAAGGGCGGCCATTCACAGTCGAGGTCGGGGGAACCACACTAGAAGGGGGACCAGAGTCCCTCTGCGGGTGGGAGGATGTCGTCTAGGGTAGAGGGCTTGCACGGGAAGGAAAGAGGAGAGACTGGGAAAAGGAACACCCCGGCATTCACTGAAGTCAATACTCTTCTAAGTAGCGCTTGATTGGCTCTGCTGGCAACCCCGAAAGAGAAGAGCACTTCCTATCTTTGACGTCCGGCTCGGGGGTTGCCCGCGAGGAGAAGGAAGTTTAGGGACACATCGGACGAGACCAGCACCCACACCGATCAGGTGAAGCTTCCTCGATCTTCAGCCACCGTTTACTCCCCCTGTACTGGCTGCAGGAGGAAGAAGAAACCTAGAGCTTGTGTCCTGTGTTTAGCAAGAGAGATTCAAACTGATCAGAGTCCAAACAATCTATGTGAAGTTAGTCTGCAAACACACCACAAAGAATTTAGGGCCGCTGTTTTCCCTAGCTGCTGCTTAGGTGTTTCTGGGACTCGCCCAGCATAAATATAGTCTCCTGCCCCAAACAGTCCTCCCAAACCAGATCCTCCGTAAACAACTTTGCGTTTGACTCCTGCCTAAAGTGGCTGGCAGCCCTGAAAGCCTCCACGTGGTAGAGAACAAGGTGGCCCAGCCCCGGCTGCCACTCAGGCTTCAGGTATTCGGTTGACTATGAATCAGTCCTTAGAATTCTCTATTAGACTGAACTAGATCCTACGCCCTTCTACCCAGGCAGATTCAAACCCTAGAAGTGAATCTGGAATCAATCCCAGACTCTTGGGTGTGTCCTAATTGTTCTCCCAAGTTCACAATGAGCTGGACCCACACGTGCCTTCCAAAGTGTTGAAACCAAATTTGCTTTCAGGGACTTCAGGCGGGAAGGGGGCAGAAACCTGGCGAGGCCAGTCTACAGGCCAGGCAACACACCTGCTTACAGCTCTGGCTACCAACCTTCGGTTACGTCACAACGCCTACCAGTGGGCAATTCAGACATACCCCTTTAACTCTGGCATCCCGATTTTCTGGAATCTCTTTAGTAACACAAGCTAAAAAGACAAGGGCTCAAGTAAAGAGAGAACCCGAGTGCACTCAGGGATGACCTATCAAAATCGTTCGAGAAGAACAGCGGTTCTCCCCCAGCTAACGTGGGATTCTCTGCTATATAAACAATGACATAGAAGTTTAGGGGAGAACCTGATAAAGTAACACATTCATTCAGAAGAAGGAAGAAATAAGCTCTGGAGATAATTCTAAAGAACTTCTCCATTTATAAAAAGCTATAGTATTTACATAGACATTTTCTCAAAATAGAAACAATGACCTAGAAGTTTAGGGGAGAACCTGATAACGTAACATATCCATACAGAAGACGGAAGAAGCAAGCTCTGGGGATAATCGCAAAGAATTTCTCCATTCGTAAAAGCTATAGTATTTACACAGACATATTCTCAAAATACTCTGCTTCAAAGGCTCTACAAGGAAGGGAGGGTACAGGGCAGAATGGTTGCATGCTGGACTCAAGGAGCCAAAGTCCAGAAACAGCTTCGCTCTCATGCAAGCAAAGCAAAAACATCCCTGAATAAAAAGAGCAAAATGAGAGGCAGAAAGGAGGACGCCCACTAGGAGAAGATGCTGAAAAAGCAGGGTGGAGATAAAGGGGATGAGGCTGGCAGGCTCAGACATTCC